ATATAATATGATAGTGGTGTTGGTGGTAGATAGTGGCATGTATATAATATGATAGTGGTGTTGGTGGTAGATAGTGGCATGTATATAATATGATAGTGGTGTTGGTGGTAGATAGTGGCATGTATATAATATGATAGTGGTGTTGGTGGTAGATAGTGGCATGTATATAATATGATAGTGGTGTTGGTGGTAGATAGTGGCATGTATATAATATGATAGTGGTGTTGGTGGTAGATAGTGGCATGTATATAATATGATAGTGGTGTTGGTGGTAGATAGTGCCATGATCCCACCTTCATCTCTCTTTTGGGAAGGCAGTTATCAGTTGTGGCTTCTCGCAGAGTCAAGCAGATCACACAATATTTTATAAACATTCAAAAAACAGTAAAATTGCAATTTTGATTGTTTATGTTGATGACATCATTTTAACTGGTAATGATGAAGCAGAGTTAGCAGCCCTCAAAGAGAGTTTATGTTGATGACATCATTTTAACTGGTAATGATGAAGCAGAGTTAGCAGCCCTCAAAGAGAAACTCGCAAAAGAATTTCACATTAACTGGTAATGATGAAGCAGAGTTAGCAACCCACTAAGATTTGTGTCACCATTCCACGAAGCCACCATCCCACTCACCTCAATAATGCATTCACCTTCATACATCTTCTATTATAAAATACTGTACAACAATAAAAAAATCTGTCAGATATTGTGTTTATTAATTTTATTATTATTATAATTTTATAGGAACCAATATTTGATTATTAAATATGCCTTTGGTTTTTATATTATTTTGTATTTTTAATTACTTTCTAATGATTTTTTACTTTTATTTTAGACATATAATAAATAAATATAATTATATATATTGAACATGTCCCCAGCATGTTGTGTCTCGCATTTTTTGAAAATTTGCTTGTCCATGGGTCCGTGTCCTTGCCCTTGTCCATGCATCATAGGTTAGGATAGTAGAGTTCGGAATCTATTAGAAAACCTATTATATGTAGGATTTGGTTACCAAATTGTGTGGAATTAGGATTATCATGGGTAGACTATTTTAAATAGTCATGAGGAATATAGGGTTTCTCTGAGAGAGATTGAGAGATTAAGCTGAAGGAAAAAATAGAGATGTAAGGGGTGAAAAAATACCGTGGGCAGCGGGGTGAGCAAGGGCTCAACTACCCTTGAGCATGGGGTTCGGGTAGTGGTGTAGGTTTTGAGTATGTTGACTATCTTACATGTATTCTCTATTTTATTCATAGTGGAAGCTCTCTCTCCCATGTATGTAGGCAATTTGGGCCGAACCACGTAAATTTGTGTGTTGGATTTTCTCTTTGGGGTGTGTGGGTGGGTGTGCTTCTATTTGCGTTGGTGGGATATGGTATAACTCCCAATAAGTGGTATCAAAGCTAAAGGTTGTTGATCCTATGTGTGGTTAGTAGAGGGTGCATTGACTGAACACGGAGGATTTGCACAGAAGATAGAAGATAAAGAGTTCAAATTTAGTGAAGGCTTCCGCAAGAAGAAACATGGTAGAAAAATTCACAGCAAAAGTAGATCTCAAGGTTTTTAGGGGTTGCGGATTCATCAGTATGGTTAGATTTTTTGGATTCTAAATAGGTGTAAAGGGATTGGACAGATTCAAGGGCGATCAAAGGTAATTGCATGTGGTCTAGGTGATCCAGGAGTAATCTAATTCTAAATTAATTACCTTTGTTTGATTGAACATCATGATTGGCCACTTGTACAGACTCGTGGAGTATGTTGCAAGCATTAGACAAGTAATACGAGTTATGGGTGAACAGTGGTGAGCAACAGTTGCAAGGATATTTGGTGGCCACCAAGAGGAAGACAATGGGTTGCTAGATGTTCACAGAAGGAAGCTTCGGGCATAGAATTTGAGACGGTTTCGCGACAAGATGGTGTACACCAAGGGAGGACGCGAGTCTCTTTTCTATGAAGGTTTTGGTTTGTGGCAGTGGAGACACCTTGGGGAGGTGCGGCAGTTCTCATGGGCTTGAGTATGGGGATGGGCTCGAGTATGGGAATAGGCTCGCGTATGAGGACAAAGGAAGCTACGAAGGACATGCTTGAGCACTACTGCGTGAGGTGCAAATAACGTGGGCATTCGGTTCAAGGGGGTGCAACATCTTCTAGGTGAAGGTCAAGTGTATCATGCAAACCCGGACATCCAGGTTGGAAGATGCGTATAACATTACCCCACATGGGTGGAAGGGGGTGATTGTTAGGATTAATCCATCCATGTGATAAAGGTTGGTCCCATACGGTTATTAGGTTGATTTATACATGTATTTGGGTTAGGATAGTGGAATTCAAAATCTACAAGGAAAGCTATTATATGTAAGATTTGGTTACCTAATTATGTAGAATTACAATTCTCATGGGTAGACTATCATAAATAGTCATGTGGAATATAGGGTTTCTTTGAGAGAGATTGAGTTGAGGGAAAAAATAGAGATGCAAGGGGTGAGAGAAAAAATACCATGGGTACTGGGGTGAGAAAGGGTTCAGCTACCCTTGAGCATAGAGTTCGGGTAGTGGTGTAAGATTTGAGTATTTTGGCCATCTCACATGTATTCTCTATTTTATTCATAGTTGAAACTCTCTCTCCCGTAGGCGTAGGCAATTTGGGCCGAACCACGTAATCTGTGTGTGATTGTTTTTCTCTTTGGTGTGTGGGTGGGTGTGCTTCTGTTTGAGTTGGTGGGATATGGTATAAATCCCAACAGTAAATTTCCATGGAGTAGCATTTGGAAGATGGGGGTTCCTATAAAGTGTCGTTTTTTGTTTACTATCCTTGTTGACAATTTGGGGAAGAGGGGGTTTTTTGCTCCCTAATTGGTGCAGCTGGTGCAAGAAAGCCGAGGAATTAGTGTGGATCATTTACTTCAGAATGAGTTGGTTAGGGATCTGGGGAATGTTTTTTCTACTTCTGGTATATAGTAGGTCTTGCTTAGATTAATCCTCTAGTTATATGAGTGTTGCGTAGGTGAGTGTCACTTCTAGAGGATGGGGAAAGTATGGATGCTGGCACTTATGTGCTTGATGTAGTGTGTGGAGGGAAAGGAATCAGCATACTGGGCTAAAGATTTCATAGTTTTCATTCTTGGCTTATCATCCTTTGCTTTTGTAGATTTTATAGGTGAACTCAATTCTGTGGATTTTTTATTTTTTATTTTTTTGGTTGGCACCTTCAGTGGATATATTTTACCTATGTAAAAAAGAGCAAAAGGAGGCAAAAGGAAGTAGCATTTTGAATTTTAGGGTTGGAACTTGAGTAAGAGAATCTTGAGGGTTGGAACTCGATTTCCATAGGTCTATGGTAGATATTGCCTTGAAAAAGTAAAGGGCCTGTACTTACCTCACATTGGAGAAGCAAATTTGTTAAAACAGTTCAAGCAAATTTGTTAAAGCAAATTTGCGACCATACTAGTGAGCTTAGCTGCAACACTTGATGGTGTATATGCCTATGGGTCTTAAGCTTTTTGTATCTATTTATTTAAACAAAATGGTTCCATGAATGGAGTTGTTGCAGAGTTGGGGTGGGGGGAAGGTTGGGAAGCCGCGTTGGAATGTGTGGTTACTTGCTGCCCATTGTTTATTTTGGCTGATTTGGTCGGAGCATAATAGGCGCATTTTTCAGGGTGTAACTCGTTCGGTTACATGGTTGGAAAGCCGGTTATTCTTGGTGCTTCATAGTGAAGCTTGGGTAACCAGCTTGGGGAATGATAGAATATCACCCCCTATTTATAAATGAAGATTAGGGTTTACAAGAAATGCAATTACAAGATGATCCCTGAGTGCTATCCCTGAGTGCATAAAATGATTACAGACAGACCCTAGTGTACCTTTCGGCTAATATAATATGCTAACACTTAATATAATATGCTAACACATAGTTGGGTCACGCTTTTAGTTGAGCCAGATTTGTTGGCTTTTGTGGATGGCTTGATTAGCTAGTCTTTGAGTTTTCTGTTTTGCATTTTATGTGCCGTGTCTTTTGGTTCTTAACTTTGGTATTTTTTGCATCACCTCGATGCTTTCTCAATAAAGCTTGTTTTATTTATCCAAAAAAAAGAGAGAGAGAGAGAGAAATCAAGTGATAAGTGCATTACTTAACACATGACTTGTTTGAGATCCATACTTAAAACGATAGAACAGTTTATCATTTATTCGTTAACGTAAGTAAACCATTCTTTAACTTGTAACTGCTTCTTAAATCAAGGGACTTCATGATAAATTCTTGAAATTTTTGAAGACCAAATTGACCTTCTGCAGAATATAGATTGATTCACTCAATTTTCATCCAAATTAGTCTTAAATTCCATCATAAGAAAAAGGTTGGAAGTTACTAATAGACATGATTACAACCCAAGAATAGGCTTCTAACCCAACTCAAATTTGAATTTTTTCGATATGGGAACTCTACCTTATGTAACAGATCTATAAAACTAGAAACTTCTAGATGAAGAAATTTGAGGAAATAAATCTTCTGAACCTCTATAATGGATCAACAAATTTTAGTCAAGAATAAAATATAAAAAACCACATAACCAAACATAAAATATAAAAAACCACATAACCAAACACTAACTTGGATACAATGCAGTTCTAATAGTACATTATTAAAATTCTTTTTCACTCAAACTATATTTCCACTGAAGCTAATGATGCAATGGATTCTTTTTCCCAATCCCAAAAAGCCTTTGAAACACTCTCTTTTGGAGTATGTTTACCGCACAATTGGTTGTATAGGTGTAACAACTCAAATTCAAGATTTCTCTTATATTTTTGTAAACTCTGTATGAGAACTTTAGAAAAAGAGACCTAATAGTAATAGGTCATCATTAAGCATATGATATCCTACTGTCAAGCCATGCTGCAGTCATAGCATTAGATTTCCTAGGCACAATCTCACCTGCATAGCTGTTTATTTTTTTGTTCATTCAGTTATTTATTTATTTAGATTTGCATGAACTACAGATTGGAGCTACCTGTATGCTTGATGAATGGGAGGAGAATTTAGCCATCATAACCGCAAACAGAACAAAAGATGATGAGCTTGTGGTTATTCATCTTGGAGATTGCTTATGGAAGGAGAGGGGCGAGGTATGTTGTGTTTGGATTCTTTTGAGGTTTAGGTTTTTTTTCCTCTCTCACTTAAAATTTTACTTGTCACTGCAGGGAAAATTGAGGAAATATAAAAGAAAAAAAAAAACAAAGAGTATAATTTATGTTTTTTTTTGTTTCCAAAGAATTTCTCAATTCAAAAATGAATCTATTGATTCTCTTCCAATTGGGTGGATTGTAGGTGCAATGATTTACTTCATGGCCAAGTAAACCAATTAGTTGTTAAGCTCAATTGAACAGAGATTTTTTTCTTTAACAGGCTCCAAAGAATGAAAATTTAATATTTAATTATTAAATTTCTTTTTATGCAACACCTTAGCAATAAATAGCACATGAAAGATGATTATCTTCTGTGTTTAGTTAATAAGACCAATTTTCTGCAGGTTACTGCTGCCCACATTTGTTATTTAGTAGCCGAAGCAAACTGCGAGTCATATTCAGACACTGCACGAATCTGTCTCATTGGTGCAGATCATTTGAAATTCCCTAGAACATATGCTAGTCCTGAGGCTATTCAGGTGCTGCACTTCCCTTTTATTGTCTGCATATAACAGTAGAGTGGGCAAATGCTCTAATACATGCTCTAGTGATTTTGTTTTAATGCTCATGGGGAATATTTTTACATTTCTGTTATATTTTATGAATGGCACTATTTTGATCACTTTATGCACTACGTGGTAGATAAATCTATGGTCTTCATCTGCTTTGTGAATTTTGAAATTCTTCATTTTTTATTACCTGAATAATGTAACTAAAATAACCTTCTGTGAAATCTGGATAGAGGACAGAGTTGTATGAATATTCAAAGGTCCTTGGAAATCCTCAATTCAGTTTACTACCCTTTCAACCATATAAGCTTATCTATGCGCACATGCTGGCTGAGGTGGGAAAGGTTTCAGATTCTTTAAAGTAGGTATTATGTGACTTTTGTTCCAGAAATGGCTGTGCCTATTTTCCCTCCATCATATAATGTGTATGTGCTGTCTCAGATACTGTCAAGCTATTTTGAAGTGTTTAAAAACTAGTCGGGTACCAGAAGTGGACACATGGAAAAATTTACTAAATTCTCTTGAGGAGCGAATTAAAATTCACCAGCAGGTAAGTCTGATATTGGTTTGTTTCCAATCCAGCCTTATTTTGGTATCTTACTAAGAAACCATTTACAGGGTGGATACTCCACTAATATGGCTCCTGCAAAACTGGTGGGTAAATTGCTCAACTTGTTTGATAGTACTGCTCATCGTGTTGTGGGTGGGCTTCCACCATCTGTGCCATCAACATCGCATAGTAGTGCTCAGTGCAATGAACATGATCGCCAAAAAGTGGGCCCAAGGGTGTCTAACAGTCAATCAACGATGGCCATGTCTTCTTTGATGCCTTCAGCATCAACAGAAAGCGAATGGAAAGGTGGGAACAACCGGTCAATGCACAATAGAAGCATTTCAGAGCCAGATTTTGGTAGAACACCAAGAAAGGTAAATATTCTTTTTCTTGTTTTTGCCAACAGAATTTCTCTTGCTTACCTAAATAAACTACTTGTGTGTTGAATAGAATTGCAATTATTGTTGTTGTTTTCTGCTTCTCGTAAACCACCTTTTGCTTATGTGAATATAATTACTTAAACCTAGCATTGAAGCAACATATACAATTGTAGAATAGAGTTTGTTACAAGCATTATAGTTGCATGGGTTGAGGTGAAGCTTTTCTTCCATTTGTGAGGTTAAGCTTAAGCATAGTGGTATAGTCATATAGGTTAAAAGTATCCGCGTTTTCAATTTTTTTTGAAAATTGAAGGGTATATTCGATTAACACCCTCTGAAGGGTCTAATAATTACATGGACCTCCCTTGTGGTTTATGAAATTACTTGGACACCCCTTTCTTATCTTAGTAGAAACTTCTCTACCATTAATGGTTTGTTAGTAAGATGGACAAAAAAAAAAGAGTATTACTAATCTTGGCCCTGTCCCATAACTTTGGTGTAAAATGAATCAAATATATTTTATACTAATTAAGTATTACTAAATTCATAAACTTTTTATCACCCGTCAAACTTTGTCACATCATCATCTTAAATTAAGAACTGTGAATGTGTAGACCTAGCTACATCCCCACCCAAATTGGTTGTGGGAACAATAACCCAAATATAAAAGTAAAAACTCGTCATGAAGAGCCTAAATTTCAAAGAGGGAAACAGTTATCAAAATTAGAAGCCCTCAAGCACAACAAAACCAGATAGGGGAATTGGATCCCCGGAGTGTTGCAATTTCCTCTCTAGGCTCTAGCAACTCATATTTGGATGTTGCGGCTGTAAATGATTTTACCTTTGATGCTACTTAAGGCAGAGAGCGGAAAAAAAACACTTTGAAGATAATTGCACAATGTGTTAGCCTGCCCTTTTTGGCATATCCTCGAATTCTTTAATGTATGGGATGTATGGATCATCTAGATGTAGCCATGAGAGAGAGAGAGAGAGAGAGAGAAGCTTACATAACATTTTATCTATATACAAACTTTGGGGTATTCTAACTTTTCTTTTTCTCTGTTTGATTCATCCAAGGAGGGAAGTTCTCCTGATATGCAAGAAAAAGCGTCAGGTGCAGGTGGGTCTTCTCGTTTAGGTCGTATTGGCTCACAGATATTCCAAAAGACAGTTGGGTTGGTATTAAGATCCCGCTCAGATCGACAGGTAATTTTTAGTTCCCACCCAGATCTAACCTACCTTCTTTTGAATTCATATGCATGGATTATCTTTTCTTTCTTTCTTTATTTTTTTTCTTTTTTTTCCCTTTGGTGAACACCCGGTCATTTAAATACTTTGCTGTTTTTCTATGAAGGCTAAGCTGGGTGAGAAAAACAAATTTTATTATGATGAAAATCTTAAGAGATGGTTAGAAGAAGGGGCTGAACCTCCTGGTGATGAACCAGCCTTGCCACCTCCACCAACAAGTGCATCTTTGCAGAACAGAACAGCAGACTACACCGAACCTAAAATTGATAATTTACATTCTAACAGTGAACTGGAATATAAAAGCCCTAGTTCTGAATGGAATTCAGGGATCCCACGCATTCCGCCCAGTTCAAACCACTTCTCTGCCCATGGACGTATGGGTGTTCGTGCAAGGTATGCACAGCATATAGCTTCTCTGGGTTTCCCCCCCTTTATTTTATTTGATTTCATGTTTGGTGGGATGGGTTCCTATTTATTTTTATTTTTCTTCACTCAATTGGCCCAAACTGGCTTACTAATGGGATGTCATAACACGTTACAAAATTTCACTTAAGATGATGATCCAATCATAGGAATAATTGCATGTGAATTTTCTAGCATTTGACTCTATACCATTGAAGGGTTTAGTTGCACACTTGAAAGATAGCCCAAAAAGTCGAGGGAATGCTTTTTAATCCTTCTTGGTTGAGACCACATGCAAAAATAATCTCTTTCATTGAAAATATTCAGGTATGTAGACACTTTCAACAAGGGTGGTGGGACTCCAGCGAACTTATTTCAGTCACCTTCTCTTCTAGCTGCAAAATCTGGGGCTGGTCCGGTGGGCCCCAATGCCAAGTTTTTCATCCCTACTCCGGTGGCCTCGGGAGACGAGACAGTACAAACAACAGGAGAAAACTTGCAAGAAGCTGTTTTTACCAATGAAAGTCCCTCTTCATCTTTCGAGAACAATTCATTCCCATCTCCACTAACATCAGCATCGACATCGACATCGTCAATGCCAACAATGCAACGGATTCCTAGCATGGATAACATTGTAAGCAAGAGAAGCAGAGCGATCGCAAACAGTAGAAGCTCCCTTCCTCCTCATTCTAGGCGTACAGCATCTTGGAGTGGGAGCTTTTCTGATACATTTAATCCTCCTAAAATGACCGAACTAAAACCTCTTGCCGAGGTTCTAGGTATGCCCCCATCTTTGTTTATGCCCGGTGATGAACTCCATGAAGTTGAACTTTGAGGTGTCTTTGGATATCTCGTCTGTACATATCTTCTCATTGTTTCCCAAGTCTCTAGTGAGTTACAAATAGAGTTCGAAAATGTCAAATCTTTGAATGGACAAGAAATTGTGGATATTCACTCTGACATCGGCATATTACCACACCAATTAACATTTTTGACCATTTGCCTGAAATCAAGAATGAGCGATGATGCTAGTGGCCCTTGGGGTTTTTGATATTTGGCGAAGAGCTTTAGTAGTTAGAGAGATACATACCATCCAACCAAGATTTCATATTTGTCAAGCCGGCTGTCGTCTGAAAGAAGACAATTGTTGGCATTGTTAAATTGTTTGTACAGGCAATGTTGATATTGAAGACAGATTGCTTTACGATTGAAGAAAATCTGAAAGAGAGCTATACCTTCTGAAGGGAAAAATCACTAGTTCACATTTTCAGAACAGTGTTCTCTGCTCTTGTATTGATATAATCAAATTTTGTTCAATTTCACATTTTTTTTGCCCCAAGTTCAATTAGATATTAATATCAGAAATGAAAGGATGAAATGTTTTTGTTCTAGAACTGTGTGTGTGTGTATGTGAGAGTATTTGCCTGCCCTTTGTGTGATGCCTTCTTGTTGATAACTCAGTTGTGGAGTCATTAGATGCCGGAGCTGAGTAAAGCTCGAGTCAAGACTGAACTAAGTAATTTGTTGGCTTAAAACATTGACATCTATTGGATTATGTTTTGAGATTTTTGTATGTTAAAATTCTTATGATTATTAGATTATGTTTTGAGGTTTTTCATGTTAAAATTCTTGCGTAGTTCAATGACTGTAAGGAAATTACAAGTTAAAAATAGAGAATCCTCAACTCTGATGTGCTTGCAAAGCACTTATTTCTTTTTTTGTTAATATTTCATAAGAATTTTTCTGAATAATTTTTGTGGGCTATTTAGGTTCATGGGTAGTAATAATGATAGGGAAATTTGGCTATAAACCCCCTTTACCTTCCTTTCATTGTTAAAAGGACTAAGAAAAAAATTATACTCTTTAAAGCCCCTCATAATTATAAAATCTTGCATAAAGGACAATTTATTATTTAAATATTTTATTAGACTATTATACCCTTAACTAAATTTTCTTACATTCTCCACCCACTCTCTCCCCACCTTCTCTGTCTTTCTCCTCCCTCTCTCCCTTCTCTAACTCCTTCAATCTTCAGATCTGGAAGCTTCAGACCTCGCCAACGCCGCCGGCGTCATCGTCATCACTCTCCTAGCCAAGTCCGGTCAGTTATCAGGTGAAACTTTGGCGATCAACAATGCCGAAACCGATCTCTACGATGAACTCATCAAGAACATCGGGAACGAAATCAACTACGGGCCGAAAAATTGTCCTCCGGTGTCGGAATCGAAGGAGATCGTCTACGAGAAGAAACAGATCGTCTCTGAATTGATCGCTGTTATTCCAAAGAGCAATGAATTGATCGCTTAGTTTTGAATATATGTATATATATATATATATATATTTGTGTATGAGTGTTGTTGAACACACGTATTCTTTTTTTTTAGATTTGTAATTGTTGATCGAGTTTTAGAAGTTTTTCTTCTCAATTAGATATGTTGATTTGTTGATTAATTTGTTTTGTTTTTTCTTGTTTTTTTTATTTTTATTTTATTTATTCTTGTTGTTTTTGATTTAATTTCATTTGACAGAACCAGAGTAAAATTGTACTCTGGCTCTATTGCTCTGTTTTTTGTTTCAGATAATGAGAGTAAAATTTTACTCTGGTGTTAGAATGGCAGTAAAATTTTACTATCAAGAGGTGGTCATTGCCAAACACTTCAGTCGCCACAAACACTGCCTTTGCTTTTTTACTTTTGTGCAGAGTAACATTTTAATTTTAGCTTCAGAGTCTCACAGTTTACTCGTTTTTCAGAGTAAAATTTTACTTTTATGCAGAGTAAAATTTTACTTTTGTGTAAAGTCTAACATTTTACTAGTTTTTCAGAGTAAAATTTTACTTTTATACAGAGTAAAATTTTACTTTTAGCTTCAGAGTCTCACAGTTTACTCGTTTTTCAGAGTAAAATTTTACTTTTGTGTAGAGTTTAACATTTTACTAGCTTTTCAGAGTAAAATTTTACTTTTATACATAGTAAAATTTTACTTTTAGTTTAAGAGTGTAACATTTTACTCTTATTCAGAGTAAAATTTTACTCTGAAATACACAATGAAGATAACTTAATAGAAGAACTGATAGATATGAGGGTGATATAGTAAAAGAAACAAGTTTTAAAATATTAGAGAGTTTTTAAAGTACTTATATAATTCTTGTCATTTTGAAAGATAAAATAGATAGTGAGGGAGCTATCACCAAATCCCCCATAATGATATACTTAATGAAAAATTTTATTCATATAAACAATTTGACAAGAATGATGTGGCAATATTATTATTATAAATAAATAAATCTTCCATGTTTTGTTTTGAAGTGAAAGGTTCACAATGAGTCAATTTATGAAAATTATGTATGAATTTTTTATTTTTATTTTTATAGCATTAATCATACTTAATATATGGCCTCACATAGCTGGGTGTTTCTCAATTAGTTGTTTCAAAATAGTAGCCCATCACGGGATTTACCTCAATAATTCAAACTGTTCATCTTATAAGACTTTCCAAATAAATCATGCATGAAAAAAGTCAAATTGATCGGATGACTATAGCACATGGGTCAAATCATATTTCTCACCAAAAAGTGAAAGCAATTATGATTTTAAAAATAAACCATTTACATAAAACATGATATGATCATGTGGAAAAATTACAAATCAGTGGAGTCTTCTAAAATAATTGTAAATTAGTGGAATACTTTATCAACTTTAATAATTAAAGTCATAAACTTATTCATGAATTTGCAGTTATTTTGAGAAGCCTCCACTGATTGGCAATTTCTCCAAAAATTTATACATATTTTCATATATAATAATGTGGCTCGTTGTGGACTTTTCACTAAAATAGATTTATTTATAACAATGGAATTGCCCCATCAATCCTTTCAAGTCTTTTTGTATAAATTTTATGTAAGAATAGAATTTTCCTTTTTGCATGGATGATTTGCTGGAGAACCCTATAAAATGAAAGATTTGGATCATCCTCGAGAGCCAACAGGTCTAGAGACCCAACTAGATATTCAATAATGTCTTTGATGGCCAAGAAGGCAAGACAAAGAATTGTAATATTGGAGCCCTGGCTGAGTTGGAGTGCATATTCATAGTACACCTTGGCAATTGAATGAAGGATGAAGCATTGTCCAACTCCTTCACAGTCCTATATTGTCTATAAACCTATCTGCTGCCTCTTTTGCTTCTCAAGTTCCACAATTATTTTTTTGCCAAATAGTCATTTTATTAAACCGAGCAACCAAACTCCCCTCTAAAACAATGTCTAGGAAAGGCAAAATGCAAACAATCTTATCCCAATTTCTAACTCGAAAACAGCCTCTCCAAAAACAAAACAGATTTTTTATTCCTCACTTAAGTTATACTGACACCTTAAGAAACCCAAGGAACAAACAAAAACATTCATGGAGCTCCTATACAATTGCAAACCGTTATTATAAATAATGCAATCCAAACAAAAAGATATAAAACAAGATGTTGTCTCCTGGATAGTCAAAACTATTTGCAATTTGAAAATGTTTAACTAGAGAAAGCTAAGCATACCAAACAAATCTCAAACACATTCATAAGAAAGCACGCACAAACCGCAAAAGGTAACATCACAAATCTACGGAATTGTTTTATGAACTATCACAACATAAACAAAAGCAAACCATCACATAAAAAAGCAAAAACTAACCAAAGTTAGCAACAAGTCTTTAATAGTTAGGGCCAATACCGTGCTCAACCTCATTCGAACCTTACTCAAAACAAACTGTTGCAAAAAACAAAAAGAAAAAACACATTGCAAGAAAATTATACGAACAACTTAGATGATGATAACTGTTGAAAGGAAGTTAACCCCCAAGCTGGTATAAACTCCAAATGATGTTGCTCAGCATCTACTAATCTTTTATGTTGATGAGACTACCCCCTGTTTCCTGTCCTTCCCTTCCAAATGCTCTCTGCCTACACAAATAGAGCATACACAGATTTAAGAATCCAAATAAAAGTAAAAATACTGTAAATCGTGAGAATATTTTTGTTTGTGTGTGTGAGAGAGGAAACAATATTAACTACATATTGACAAAAATAATTGTGTCATCTGTACATATATTATAATTTTATATATTTTTAATCACATCGACAAAAATAGTCCGTACTTTTCAAATTACATATGAAAACAAGAGTTGGGAACAATTTGTTTGCCAATGCTTTCATTTTTGCTTTCATTCTCAGTTTTTATTCATTTTTGCTTTCATTCTCAGTTTTTGGGAAACTTAAAACGAAAAATAGTTTAACATATTATTTTTGTTTTCATAAAAGTAAAATCAATTCTAAAATTTTCAAAAAAAAGAAAAAAAGAAAAAGAAAAAGAAAATGGAAGTGTTTTCTTTTGTTTTCAAAACAAGTTTTCACTCTCTTAGTTCAACAAAAATAAGCAAAGATCTACACTTCACTTGTAGAATCAATGACAATATTTTGCAATTATTTTTCCCCGCATTTTATTTATTTATAAGTACACTCCAAAATTTATATTCTAATATGCAATGAGTATCGCGTCATACACAATTTTTAAAAACTAAAGACAAATTTTAGATTGTATTTATGATAAAGTGGGAATAAGAATAACAACTATCTCTTGTTCTCTAACTCCATTGGGTTCAATTTGTAAAACTCAAAACATTTTGGATAAATTTCTACATTTAATTTAACCAAAAAAAAACCAAAATTGACTGCTGACACCAATCATTACGCAAGACTAGCGAGTGGTCAATATGTGAGGCTAGGGGTTGGTCGCATGTATCTTGAATTTGTGTTGGTTGGGCCAAAGGCCCTTAGCTAGGATTTGTTCTCGATTATCAAAAAATTAAAATTGAGACCATGGCAGCTCCACCTATGTGTTTCTATTAGGCAAAAAATCCTACTGAGTACTCAGACTCATAAGATTAGCAAGTACAAGCAAAAATGATTCCATAGCCAATAATCAAAAGAGATACTTAATAGTTTTGAGCGTACATTTACCATGAAACAAGGTTGTTGGTGTGTTTCAGTATTAAATCAAAGCTGAAATCATGAAAGGGTCTTATCTCTCCTGTTGTCATATTGTAAGCCACAACCAACTTTCCACTGTGAAGACTAGACCAAGATTTGGCCATCATCTAGCCAACCAACAGGAATGAAAGTCAAACATAAATTTTTTTATCCATCTATTGCTTCTTTAATCTTGTAAAGTTTAGCCCATTCACCACCATACAAGTCTTTTAGTATGCATACATGAACCTTTGGTTGATGATTCACAACGCAAATCCTTAGCTCAAGAAACCTATAAAAATTCCTAACAAATTCATTTGAAACTTGGATGAAGTGAGAAGTTTCGTCAGAAACGTCAATAGCAAAAATATGGCTGCTCCTTTGAGAGAAATAAACAGCCCCTCCAACAGACACTGAAGTTTTATCCCCATAGTAAAGATCGTTTCCTTTTAGTTCCATTCTTCTCCATGACATGTTATTACACACAAACAATACAAACCATCTATGTTCTCCACTGAAGATTTTACAATGGCATACCACCTTGTACTCCTGAGTGCGAGAAATGAAAGCAATATGAGAAGAGAACAAACACTCACCATTCACAATAGGAAGAGGTAAGTACTTGTACTGCATTGTCACATGGCTCCCAACAAAAAGAAATCTATCCACAAATAAGTTGAAAAACAGCGATAAACCCCCAGTACTAGAGATCATTTGTTCAGGACAATGTGTATGTCATTTTGCATTCTCCATCATTAAACTCAAGGAAACATGAATGAAATGGCCTACAAAACTTCTGGAAGAACAAGCCACCCTTTGATTGAATGAGGCGTGCCTTGATAAAAGAAGGGTCGGATATAATTTTAGCCTTGCACACATACCTCCCACAACAATGCAGAAACTCAGCAGGATGGAAAATAAGAACGTGAAAAAAATTGTCCTCAAGAACAAATGAAATGTCATTCTTCTATTCCTTCGTTTGAGAGGAAGAAATAGTCCCACAATAATGTAGAGAACATGTAAGAATTTGACAGGTGAGCAAAAATAAGACAAACAACAAGATTGTTCATATATCTATGGAATCAAAAGCTGTAGGTTTGGACATATGAAAATGCCTTTGGCACAAAATGCAACACAAAAGGAAGAAATACATTGTTCATATATATATGGAATCATTAGTTTATTTTCTAGAGCTCAAATTTGACAATTTAACTGCATCAAATTGCAACAAAAACAAAATAAAAGAAACAATATAAAACTAACTACAAACTAATAAAAAATTTCACCTTCTGTAAGTAATAAAATTCAAGCACGTCATTCAACAAGAAAA